GCAACCTCTGCCTCCTGGGTTCAAGCGATTCTCCTGCCTCAGCCTCCCGAGTAGCTGGGATTACAGGCACCTGCCACCATGCCCAGCTAGTTTTTTTGTATTTTTAGTAGAGACGAGGTTTCACCATGTTGGCCAGGCTGGTCTCAAACTCCCGACTTCAGGTGATACGCCCACCTCAGCCTCCCGAAGTGCTGGGATTACAGGCATGAACCACTGTGCCCGGCCGGAAATAACCTTTCAATTAGGGGCCAGGTTCCAGGTAAATCCCCAGATGCTCATCTTAATCTGTGCCAGGCTGTACTATAGATCCTATGTCTCTTGGGAAAGAGGGTTGAGAGTTCTAACATGAGATACTTAATTTTATTTATTTATTATTTGATTTTATTTTAAAAACAGAGACAGGGTCTTCTTATGTTGCCCAGGCTGGTCTCGGACCCCTGGACTCAAGCAATCCTCCTGCCTTGGCCTTCCAGAGTGCTAGGATTACAGCAGTGAGTCACCGTGCCTGGATGAGATGTATTGAATACACATTTCTCTTCACTCACATTCTATTGGGAGGTTCTTTAACACGAAATCTGCAGACCTGTAGAGTGAGGCACCAACCTCCTGTTACAATATTCCTGAATGGGTCCAGTCAGGGTAGGAGGTAGTGGCAGCCCAACGTCTTCTAGTAAGAGGGCTCTTAGGGAGGCTTTTTCCACTGACTCTTGAAGAAGAGTCATAGGTTGGGGTGGCAAGGTAGATATGGGTGTATATTGCAAAACACTAAAACCAGGGTGTGGAAAGGTCTAGACAGTGAGTCCCAACAGTGAGGCCCGCTCATTTGCCTAATTAGAAACAATTAGAAACCCTTGCTTAATGGAAATTCTTGCCCTCAATTTTTTTGTTGCTGTTGTTTTTTTTTTTTTTTTAATTATTATTTTTATTTTTTGAGACAGAGTCTTACTGTCGTCCAGGCTGGAGTGCAGTGGTGCAATCTCAGCTCACTGTAACCTCCACCTCCCAGGTTCAAGTGATTCTCATGCCTCAGCCTCCCAAGTAGCTAGGATTGCAGGTGTGTACCACCATGCCTGGCTAATTTTTGTATTTTTAGTAGAGATGGGGGTTCACTTGTTGGTCAGGCTGGTCTTGAACTCTTGGCTTCTAGTGATCCTCCCACCTCAGCCTCCCAAAGTGTTGGGATTACAGATAAGAGCCACTGCCCCAGCCCAATTTTATCTTTCAAGTGTAGCATTTGAGTTAGAGTCCCAATTAAAAATGCCATTGTCTGTATAAATTTTATAGTATAACTTTTCACAGTGACAAAAGTGATTGAGAGATGTACTTTACCGGGTTTTTTGGGAGTTTTGTTTTGTTTTTGAGACAGAGTCTCATTCTGTTGCCCAGGCTGGAGTGCAGTGGCACGATCTCAACTCATTGCAACCTCTGTCTCCTACATTTAAGCGATTCTACTGCCTCAACCTCCTGAGTAGCTGGGACTACAGGTGCATGCCACCATGCCAGGCTAATTTTTGTATTTTTAGTAGAGACAGGGTTTCACCATGTTGGCCAGGCTGGTCTCGAATTCCTGACCTCATGTAATCCACTTGCCTCAGCTTCATAAAGTGCTGGGATGACAGGCATGAGCCGCTGTGCCTGGCCTAATTAAATTAAATTTTATTTATTTTTTTTTTTTTGAGATAAAGTCTCCCTCTGTTGCCTAGACTGGAGTGCAGTGGCATGATCTCAGCTCACTGCAACCTCTGTCTCCTGGGTTCAAGCGATCCTCCTGTTGCAGCCTCTCATGTAGCTGGGATTAGAAGTGTGTGCCACTACGTTCACCTAATTTTTGTATTTTTAGTAGAGACAAGGTTTCACCATATTGTTCAGCGTGGTCTCAAACTCTTGAGCTCAAGTAATCTGCCTGCGTTGGCCTCCCAAACTGCCGGAATTACAGGCATGAGCCACCATGCTCAGTGAGATGTATTTTAATGTGAGATCTAAACATAATTAAAGGAGAATTAAAAACAAAACGTAAATAAATGGGAAGAAAGTGTGAAACTTCTCTCTCATTTACCATTGATGTTTGCAAATTGCTAATACCGTTTTCGGAAATGAACTTGAGTTAAATAGTTAAAAAGTTAATTTAGAAGTTCAAAAATGTGGCAGAATGTCAACTACTTAGCTCTTGCCTTTCTCTGACAACCTGCTGTCATTAACAGCACAGTGAGTTATGACAGCGTTCCCACACATTATCCTGACCTTCCAGAGCTCTCCAGTTTGTTCCTTTGATGGCTGAGAAAAATAAGCTAAAAATAGAGTTGATGTTTAATTAGCTTTTAGAATTTCGGAGTGATACAGAGCAGTTCATTTAGTAAACATTGATTGCTATGTGCAGCATGCTGTGCTACAGATAACTGAGGAGTTGGAGATAAGGTTTGCTAAGTGACTCGGGAGGGCGGGGCCAAGCCAACTATAGACCCAGGGTAGTTTAAGCCATGGGTAACATGGTCACCTTCAAGGAGAATGAAGCCTGGCCAAGCAGACATCTGACATTTGAGAAGATACTTTGACTAGAGATACCTAGGAACTGGTAAACCAAGTCACCTAGCTCCCAGGGTCAACATTCCTGCCTCTGTGCTTCACTTGGAAGTACTGTGGCCAAATATCCATCCACTCTGTCTCTCCTCCTGCACAGCACCTGCACTCTTCAAGAAGTAATCAATAATGCTTCAAAGCACTAGGGTGTTGGAAAATCTGTGTGCTTTCTGTAAATTGTGACAACCAGAATATCTTCTGTTCTCTTCACTCTCCTTTGGTTTATGTCTTTTGTTTGCCTTTTATTTAAAAAATATAAGAAGGTACAAGTAAAAGTAAGCACATTAATATAGTCAGTACTGAGAATGTAAACATTCCATGTTGCCTTTAGATTTTTTAGAATGGGAATGAGTATTTAAGGTTCCTTTTGAGGCCCTCCCTTGTATGGATCCTTACCTGGAGTCTCCAGAGTGATTGACATACACCTCAGAGCTCCCCAGGAGCATTTGTGGCATCTGGATGTGGTCTCATATCTTGATTTTGAAGATTGAAGGAGCAAATTTAAGATTCTTCATCCTTGCCTTAAGGAAAATATCAACACTTAGATATTCTGTTGTCTTAAGGGCCACTTGGCTCTGACTTCTTTAGTGGTTGTTTCCTGGGGGAAGGTGGCAGTTACCCTGTGTGGCTTGCCCAGGACTGGAGATCTGCAGCACCTGCCACAGCCCCAGGAAAGAGGCCTGTGTTTCTTGGATTCTGAGTCTAACTTCAGAGAAAGTGCTCCTTTCTCTGCAGTCCCAGCACAGGAACCATCCTCAGTGACAATGCTCCGAGTGCTCAGCCATCAGCCTTTCTGTGTGCCGGTGTGTGCCTACCTTCCTGACCCTGTTCCCCAGGCCCACATGCACAGACAACAGGGGTCAGGAGTGTGTTTTGTGTATCCAGATAAACATCTTGATTTCGCCAGCGGCTCAGGAAGCTTTTATGTGTAGTAGAAATCTGATGCAAAGTTTTCAGGTAGAAGGAAGTGTCTAGCTGTGCAGATGTAGCTATGGCTCTTGGGTTGTTTTCAGCCAGCAAGCTCTTTCTCTTCTAGTTTGCCTTCTTGAGATGGGAGGTCAAGGACTCCTTCCATTCTTTAGAATTCTTCAAAATCTTACGGTGTAGTCTGCTGCCTGAATCTAGTTCTGAGAAATGACTACTCTAAAAATTAGGCTTTTTCATTTTCATTTCCTCGATTTTCATCTCAAAGTAGTGTTGCTTGGGTCTGTGTGAC